GGGGCGGTCGTGTGTGTGTGTGTGTGTGTGTGTGTGTGTGTGTGTGTGTGTGTGTGTGTGTGTGTGTGTGTGTGTGTGTGCCCACAGGGTCGGGCACATCTTGTCAGGCTGCATCGCTCACCTACGCAGCCCCGACTGTGGCAGAATCCAAACACCGCCCTGCCACCACTCCGATGTCTTGCTGCTTATTCCACCCACTCCGCCCCGATCCCTACCGATCACAGATGGCTCAGAACCGTGGAGCCTCCTTTCTGGGGCTCCGAGATGATCCAGCCACTCCCCACTCGCTTTGGGGTTTACAGGGTGCTCGAAAGAGCCCGGAGCTCATTTTGTGGGGGGCTTGCGATGCAGCGTCGTGGCATAATGGCCTTCGCGGCAGCATATCTCCATGCAGGCAATTCATAGCCCTGCCAAGCTGATTGGGCCAAGACTTGGCTTTGGGCCCATAGGCAAAGCATCACTGTGCTTTGGGGGAGCCCCATCTTCGGAGCTCGGGTCTATGGGGAGAGTGGCAGGGCTCTCACATAGACAGTCCAAAACTCCTCCCACTCCCCACCTTCTGATTATTTATTTTGTATTGTTTGTCCTGCCTCAGGACAAGTGACTCTGCTGGCCAATGGCTAGAGGAGGCTGGGCACAAAATGGGGCTGGAGGGTTGAGCTGGAAGGAGAAGCCTGTGGGTGCATCGTGCCCTTGTACCTACATTGCAATCTGCTAGGCAATGACACTCGAGCCCCCTGGGCTTTGCCGCCAAACAGAAACCAGACAGGGAGTCCGATCCTCAGCTGGTGTAAATCAGTTTAGGTCTATGGGAGTCCATGGATCAACACCAATGTACACTAGCTAAGGATTCCAGCTTCTGAAAGTGTGTCTGGTGTTTCCTTGCTCCCTGGTAGAGGCCAGGGTGTAAGTGGCAGAAGGTATGTGGCTTATCAAAGCAGCCCAATGCTCCCTCGTGCGCGGTCCACAGAACAGGCTTTTGTGCTCTCGATCCGCTTTGGCAAACCATCCGGGGATTAGTAAAAGGGACCGGATGATGGGCTCTCCGCCGTCTCCCCTACAGAATGGCTGCTAATGGACAGTGCTTGTCAGAAGGATTAAGGAGGACAAGGCAGAGTGAGTGGAGAGGCAGCCGTTCATCTCCCGTCCCGCTAGCCAGACAATCCTGTATCTCTCATCTCCAGAGAATCACTCCTCTTGCTCAGGGAGTAGTCTTCTGTCTCGCTTTTGAAGCTGTTCCCTCTGTCTCAGGAAGTGGCGCCCAACTTCTTATTTATTCTGCTTCCTGAATGTCAGTTGGCATTTCCCCTGTCCCGGGCTGTAGCGTTTGCTGACCGTGCTTGACATCCGGTGCTGTCCCCAGATGTTGAAAGCAGGGGATGGGTGGGCCGAGGGTGTTGTCTCTTGGGGCCCATTTCTCTCCATATCACTGGGCGGGGGATTGTCTGGATAAATAGTCCAACTTTAGACCCACCAGGCAAAGCCCCTCCGTCCTGCAATGCAGATTTGTTCCCAACAGCTCTTGGCTTCTTGTTACTGTGTGTATCACAGTAGCACCCAGGGACCGTAGTCCTAGTCAGGGTCCCATTGTGCTCGGAGTTGTGCATTCACAAAACAGAGACAATTCCTGCCCCAAAGAGCTTCCAAATGAAGTCTAAGATTGTTTCATTGTTACTTGTATTGTGGTAATCCGGATGGGTTGTCTGAGCTGGAGCAGTTTTTAGATGAACAGGAACTACGGGCTTGATGCAGAAATCAGCATGTGGATGTCTGGCCGTTGTTCTGCAGTTTCAATGATCACAACGCAGGCCCCAGCTGAGATCAGGTTCCCTTTGTATTAGGTGCTGTACAAACACAGACAACCCCACTCATGACAAGCTCATACACTAAAGAGATGAGACCACAGGTGGAAGAAGTGAAGTAGTATTTTCTCCATTTCAGATTGGAAATTGAGGCACAGGGAGATGGAAGTGACTTGCCCAAGGTGTCACGGAGTCTGTGGCAGAGCAGGGAGCTGAGCCCAGAGCTCCTGAGTCTGACCCCAGTGCCTTACCCACGAGACCAGCCTTCCTCTGGCAGAGACTTCCCCTGCCCTGTGGCTAAATGCTCCTTCCAGCAGCAGGGAGAGGAGGGTTGAGACCTGGCAGGAGAAATCCCCATTGGCTTTTATGGGTGGGCGGCACCTTTGATCTCCTGAGTCCTGGCCAGTTACACGGAGCCCAGCAGCTGTGTGGGATTCCTGCTGTGTGAGTGCCTGTGTAGAGAGCACCCAGGGTGTGTCCTGCCTGCAGGGACGTTAATGTCGAGAACCGTGTGCTCAGCACTCCACCCTTTTTCTCTTTGTCTGAACAGGTAAAAAAGCAGGAGCCCCTGAAAATCGCAACAAAGGTAACCAGCCTCTCCATCCTTTGAACCAGCACCACACTAACTACCAAGCATTCCTCCTTCCTTCTTCCCATGAGTCTGTGCTCTTCGCCGCTGCAGCGGGAATCTCGCCTTGTTGTCCCAGAAAAGGGTGTAACAGTCCCCACAGTGCTAACCTCCACACTTCCTTTACCCCGACCCCCAACCGTCCTGTCCAACTAGGGGCCAGCCTCAGATCCCAGGTCTGTGCTGCTGGAGTTGCAGCGCCCTCTGCTGTCAGCCTAGGGTTCTGATGGCAGGGGTTTGGGTTTTTTTCCCCCCACCACCATTGGTGCTGTGAGGGGGGGATGATGGTTCTTTCTGTGCCCCATGCGGCGGCCTGGCCTCTTCTGGGAGGAAGACAAACAACAGCACATTGAGATCTGTGGGGCAGGAAAAGTGGGAGAGTGGAAGGGGGAAGTCCCATTGTTCAGGGAGGCTTAACATCAGCCTAGACATAGACCGTTGGGACCAAATCTGCCCTGGATGGTTCTGCCCTGTCTCTGATCTGGGATATCAGTTTCTACTGCCACTTTGTACCAGCAGGAAATTGACCACGTGGGATTGTTCTACAGCACAGCAGCTAGTGGTTCCTCCCTCCATTGTTCCTGGATGAATGGGGACATGGAATCTAGTGAGGAGAGTGCTCCATGGCAAATGGGGTGGTGGGGACGGGGTTTTAGTCTAGGAGCATGAAGTGCTGCTCCCCTCCCCCAAGTTTGGAACTGGATCAGTGGTGGGTTTGGCCTGTGAAACTGTTACACCCTGTTCTTCTCATGGCCTTTTTGAATCAAAGTGAGCGTCTACTCCTCCAGTATGTTTCTCACAGTGTTCTTTCCAGGCTGTGTAGAGGAAGCCCATTTCTGCACCTGTCTGTTTCTCCACCTCTCTCTCTCTCTCTCTCTCCTCTCTCAGCAGTTTACGTTTCCTTCCTTCCAATCTGACATGTTGGGTTGTTTTGGGTTTGTGGGTGTTCTGGTTTTGTTCCCTCCTCCCCCCATTTCTGTTCTGTCTGAAAGTCCTAACCATGGAGGTCACAATTTTGGAGCAACCGTGAGTTCTTCAGAATCCATAACACTTCGGTAGTGGAGGCTAGAAAGGGGAATCTGCTCTGAAACAGTTGGAGCCGTATGTGAACCACGGCTTGTCTGAGTTGTTTGGATTTTTTTTAAACCCAAGAACAAGAACTGAGATGAAGCAAATAACTTCCATTATTTTTGTGGGGGTTTTTACACACACACACACACACACACACACACACACACACCTCCT